CCACCCACCCTTTGCATGCATTTTCCGGGTTGGTACAGTGACACGTCAACAGTACCACATCAACAATGACACGTCAGACACAGTGCCACGTCAGCAGTGCCACGTAAGCAGTGCCACATCAGCAGTGCCACGTCAGACACAGTGCCACGTCAGACAGTGCCACACCAGACAGTGCCACGTCAGACAGTGCCACGTCAGACAGTGCCACGTCAGCAGTGCCACGTCAGCAGTGCCACGTCAGACAGTGCCACGTCAGCAGTGCCCCGCCACCATGACGGGCGCAGCTCTGGGCATGCCAGGCCAACTGGCCAACGAGTCCATTGCCGACTACAAAAAGCGATTCCAGGCTCAGCTCGCTGCAATCGAGGCTGAGGAACAACGCCAGCTGGCAGCCAAGGCTGCCCAGCTACAGGCTGAAGAAGCGGCAACAGCAGAGAAGCTGCGGCTACAGGCCGAAGCAGACGCAGATACCMAGGCTCSCCGAAAGGAAGCCCAGGATCTGCTGCTGCGGCACGAAGCCAACAGCATCGACAGACTCAAGTACTGGCACTTTGAACAGAACGGCGACGAGCCAACACTGGAAGAGCAGCATAAGGAGTTCTTGGCCAAGCTCGTGGCCAGGCTGGTTTACACATGTAACCACCTGCAGTCCGAGCTGGCAAACCTTCAGCAGGCTGTGCGGAACCATAAGACTCAGCATGAGGATGCCACATGGGCACTGGACGCCCGTGTACTGGACCTGGAACAGGCTGTACCAGGACCAGCTGCTGTGGCTTCCAGCAGTGCATCCTCTAGCCGCCAACTGGAGGAACGCGTTGACCACGTAGTGGCAATGCTAGGAGACATAAGTGCCTTCACAGAGCCGGCCACCATCAGCCAGCGGTTTGAGTTGCTGGACACCAAGATCAGTCAGCAACAGCAGACCAACCACAGCCACAACAACAGCTCGGCGAGGCCATACAAGATGCCGACGTTCCGGATCGAGAAATTTGATGACTACACACATCAAGACCCGGTCGTCTGGTGGCAAGGATTTACAACGGAGTTGGGGATCCACGAGGTCCCTGACCGTCTGTTCATCAGTGCTCTGTTCATCAACACCAAGGGAGGATGTCAGATCTGGTTCAGCCACATGGCAACCATCCACGGCGTCCAGGTTTCAGACCTGCACAAGAAGGTCACCTGGGAGGATATGACAAAGGAATGGAAGAAGCGGTTCATAGTGGATGACCCGCGCTCGCCATCAATCGTCTTCGCGATGGCTCAAGGGAGCACACCGACACGTGAGTGGCTCACGGATTGGCAGAAGATCGTGGCGACGCCCGATCTGGACTTGCCATTTCCGCATCTACGTCATGAGTTCTACAACAGGTCATGCGCCGCTCTCAGCCTCGCACTGGGTGATCGCGAGCAGTACAGCACTTTCGCAGAGATCATCAACAAGGTGAGAGAGATCATCAAGACCAACAGGGCGGCCGCACACGAGAAGTCAACGTGGCAGCCAACCTATGTGGAGAAGGTACGAACTGGTCCGCGACAGCAGCAGTTCGCTGCAGTCCAATCGGACAGTGGAGAAGACCCAGCAGCCACTCCAGCATCACGTGAGGGAGATCAGGTGGCTGCTGTCTAGCCGCGAAGCAACAAGCCCCGAGTGAACGGGAAGGCGAAACCAGCATCGCAGGCCGGAAACGGACAGCCAGCACCACCATGGGTCAAGTTCGGCT